ACTCATCAGTCGCGGTACGCACCCACAACCCTCATTCGCAGACTACTGAGCCGGAGGCATCTAATGGTATGTGACTGCATCTGTTATATAAGATACTTGTTTAAAATACTAGGTTATATAATGCAAATAACAATGAGACATAGTTGTGTAACTTCCTTTAAGTTTCGCATACACAAATTAACAGTTTAAAACAAACTAACTAATATTAAATTGGTATGCGATCGGACTAAGATATTTTGAATGTTTTTATAGATGGGACCAAGTACAATAATACATGTGTGGATGGTTAAAGCATTCAGTTTATAAGCGGTAGATTATAGGCTCGAACCCAGTTTGGCTCGAATAACAGGTTAGTATCATTAGTCACCATCATAGAAATACTTGAATTCCAAACTTATTATCTAAAGATTTTTAATAGTTGTCGAACTTTAGGATCAATGGAATTAGACAATCTCCAAAATCCTCGGTAGTGACATAAACTTATATTTTTCACAATAACACAGTCTCAACTCTGATAGTTTTTGTTTCTAAAATTTCCACTGTACACTTTTGGGATGACTCATAGAAGTTTCCAGAGTCTCTCAAGTAACTGAAGCGCTCCCACTTAATCAAAGCTTGATAGAATTTCTGGGATTCTGATATGACAAACTGATGGAATCATGACATGGCATCACTCACTAACCCCAGTGAATGATTTTAAAAGGCTATTTTCACTCCACACTAAAAACACGCGGTTTCTCTGTGCATTTTTAACACTTACTAAAGTAGGCATTTCTTCTATCTCCTCTGGTTTTTGATTTTCAACCTGGCGGAGGGTCCGTTCTACTTTTTTCCGGTTAATGGTCATTTTACGTTGGAAAAAAAGAAGCCATTATTAGTCTGAAGTTTTAAACAAACTGATCATTAGTGAATTCTGTCTAATCCAATGAGGATTGAATCAAATGAGCATTGAAAAAAAAAGGTTGACGAACATAGCAATGTCATGTGTAAATTTAAAATGTATGCAACGATCAGTTCAGAGTTGAAGACAATAATAATAATAATTTGAGCATTTTAAGTAACGCAGACCTCTGGATGGTGTTGAATTCGCTGTTTAAAATGTGCTACACTTTTTAACGTCTATGCCATGTTTGTTGTCTAGTCAAGTTTTTTTCTTGTTAACTATTCCAGATGACCTAGCTTGTTGTTTGACCGCCTAACTTAACAATCAATGGAACACTACAACAAACTGTAGTTTTTTTCGGTATTTATCGTTGAATATTTTTTGACTAGAATGAAGCGCTTATTCAATTGTCTTTAAATGATGAACATTTCATCAACTGAAACATGTTCTTGATGAGAAATACAATACGTAGTTGACTTTTTTTCGCTGAATACACACACAACAGTTCAATTTGAATTATTTCTCCAACATAGTATGACAAAGAACCATTTTAACTGATATGTTTGATGAGATCAGTACACAGTTGTTATATCCTATTATAAGAGTACTTTTTGGTATTGTAAATAAACTTAAAACTCTACCAGGAATTGATCAAATCATAATCTCTCTATGCCTAATATTTTCCATTACTTCTACTATTCTGATATTTATGTAGCTAACTTCATTTAATCGTGCTGATATATTTACTATATACCATATTTGTCAAGTTCACAACAACCCTCCTTACAAACGTTTACATTCAATCAATCAATAGCAACGTAGAACTTCGTACGTACGTGCGTCAGTTTATGTTGCCATACCATATTAACACAGAGATGTAATTGTCAATTTAAATCCAATAGTAGCAGAGGTAGTAAAGGTATTAGCATTG